TACATTAGTAGTTTTCTGCAGATAGTTTCTAAATTTGTAGAAATCTGCATTAGTTACACACTGAAATTTATACACTGCCAATATTTAATGTAATAAATGATGAACGTTACACATAAAAAACATATGAAAATTCCCTAAATCCACAGGTACTGAAGAATATCTATTTTCTTTACTTAATTAAAGGCAATAAAAAAATCATTTATATATTCATTGGGATATGTTTTATCTGCACATCAAAAAAAAAAATATGTAGTGGAACAAAAGTATAGTACAACTTTTCATGCAAAGGTATTCAATTAGTCATTTTTGTATCAATTTTCCTCCGCCAATCTCTATGTACGACTCTCTCATTTATTCGCAGATCGTCAATTAAGATTCTGTTCTATTTCCTCTTCTGTATGGTATGGAATCAGTTCCCTATCCTGTACATCTTGTTAGCCCATATCAAATAATATCACATCTAGCCAATTAATCATTAACACTGTGCCATATTCAACACCTTTAATGTTTTTAATCCTTGAATGCTTCTATATCCACACTCCATCTACAGTAGATGTAATAACACATACTGGTATGTTAGACTCGCAAAATTTTTATAAACATGATGTTGCATTTTACACATGAGCAGAATCAGATTATTTATTGACAAAAGAGCATCATTGTTTCAACTGGATAGTCACACACAGCCAGGGGGAGCAGAAACCCTCAACATCCTGCAACATCGCTCTTCCAGGCCAGCAGTCCCCAACCTTCAGCTATGACATGCCAAAACTAAGGCTTGACATCTACCATAGTATCATCATTTCATGTGAACTATAACCATTGAGAACCCAGAAAATTATTATTAACCTCTGGTAAAATATCCATTATTTTATCTCTTCAATCAGAATTGGAATCATCCATTTTTTTCAATGCTTTCTTCACCACATGACTTGCTAAATCTTCAACATCCTCATATGCACCCAGGGTATTATCATTCATTGTCAAATAAACAACAAAAGTGGAACAAATAGCAACTAATGGTTCTTCCAAGAGATCTATGATTCTTGAAACTTGGTTTAACATATTGAGAAGTTTTTAAAATGTATTGTTAATGTAAAAAGTAAAATCACTGTAAAACAATCAATATCTAACATTTCAATTTACTGTTCTTTTTAAACATTTCCCCTCCATGTTTTCTTCTGGATCTAAAAGATGGATAATGCAGAGAGATAAAGCAAATGTATATAATTACCAAGGAATTCTCACAAAGAAAAGATATGTACATGAGGTAATTGGTCGAATTTGGTTAACTGCACAAATAAATCATGCATGGTCAGGTGGCAGCATGCATTGAAATTCCAAGAAATCATTTATCATATTTGGAAATTTATATGCAATTGGTTAATCAAACTTTATTTATATGACATAAAAAATTGCAAAACTTGTAGTCACAATTGCCTTATAACATCACATATTTAAAGAAATTTAAGTTCCAGTATCTTTCTAACCTGAGATGCTACATATTTGATATTGTCCAAACTTAACTTCAAAATAGATGATGCTGTAAATGTTTTTATTCATTGGATATATACCATCCATTGATTTTTATCATCATTAATACAGAAAAAAAGGTCATAAATCTTTCCATTTTCTTTCAAATTGTGGGTTTGGAAATCTCCTTTGGGAGTTGATCTTTAACTTCATGCTCTGGCAGATCTTTATACTGGGTAAGATGTTTTTCTAATTCCTCCCCAAAGTAGTAATAACTTCTTATTAGTTCATGATGTTGTAAAATAGTAAATATGAATCACGGGAAACGAATATATAAATCGGAAATGATTTACGTGTGTTACGAAGTGAAAATTCGGAAATGATTATCACGGAATAACTCAACAAGAA